CGTAAGAGCGCGGGGTCGGGATGTCTGGAGCATCCGGGTCTCCCTCAGGGGCAAGCAGCATGGACACTAGATGAGGCGCAGCGGCTGCAAGACACTCAAGGTCCTCCTGTCTGTCCTCAAGGACGTCCGTGCCTAGAGCACACTCACCCCCGACGGACGGAGGACAGACAGACTCAGACTCAGCAACAAGACTCGCGGCGTAGTCTAGACGACAGCGAGCAGCAAAGTCGACAAGCTCATCAACTAGGGCAGACGCAGCAGCAGACTCAAAGGAAGGGTCAGTGACAGCAGTGGCCAGGAGACGCGTGACAGTAGGACTAGCAGCACGAAGAGAGTCAGACTCCGGGTCATCACGGGCAGGAAGAGAGGACGCAGGAGGGGAAGGCAGAGGGACACGCTGTGGAGCAGAGGAAAGACGAAGCGTCATCTGGTTAGTGCCTGGGACAGCAGGAGGACGCAGACGCGGGACACGACGACCAGTGCGAGCAGCACGAACAGGCGACGCAGAACGAGACTCAGGCGACACAGGACGAGACTCAGGCTCACGACGCTCCGTAAGACCTCCTGTCGGACCAGTGTAGGGAGAAGGACCAGGGAGGGGCGAGGCAGGCTATAACTGCAACTGCGACTGGACAGGCTGCGGACACTCTAAGGAGGGAGCAGGACAAGGAGGAGGAGGCTGACCAAGAACCTGCTGAAGGAGCGGAACGAAGTACAGCCGCGGCCGTGAAGCGCCCCCAAAACCAGCAGAGACAGCACTAGAACCCCCAGCAGCAGCTCCAACTCTGTAGCACTACCAGCAGCTCCAGCAGCGCCAACTCCAGTACCCCAAGTAGTACCAGCTCCAGCCGCACCGTCGGCTCCAGCACCTGCAGGACCAACCCCAGGGTCAGCAGCTACACCAACTCCAGTAGGCCCAGCGTCCTCAGCTCCACCGGCAGCTCCAGCAGCGCCAGCACCTGTAGCTCCTACTCCAGCACCAGTAGCACCTCCAGTCGCACCAGCTCCAGCAGCTCCAGCTCCAGCAGCACCCCCAGTCCCAGCAGCTCCAGTACCGCCTGTACGAGCACCTCCAGGACCTGAGGCTCCAGGACCTCCAGTAGCACCAGGGCCTCCAGCGGGCGGCACCCCAGTGCCAGGGGCGCCGCTCCGGAGGCCGCAGCGCCGAGCGTACCACTCACGCAGTCGCTGTGGGGAGGGAGGCGACGGCTGCGACCCAGCACCAGTAGCACCACCAGCTCCAACTCCAGCAGAACCCCCAGCTCCCGCAGCCCCACGCCGGAGGCTGTAACGCTGAGAGTACCACTCACGCAGCTGCTGTGAAGAGGGAGCGTCACCAGGCGCAGCACCCCGCACAGTAGGCAGCAAAGAGGTCGGAGGAAAACTCACCACCTCTGTCAGAGTGTAGACGCAGGACTGGTAAGTCCGACTGGAACCGGTCGCGGAGCTGGAGACGAGCAGCGCGGATCCAAGGGATCAAAACATCAGGGACCTCACCCTTGGTGTAACGCGTGTAGTCGTCGACGACCAGCAGGAAGTACCGCTCGTGGCCCTGTCCACGGACGCGGGCTGGGCCCCACACGTCCAGGTGGAGAGTCTGCAGAGGAGCCTCTGTGGGAGGGAACGAGGAGGAGTGAGGAGTGGCGCGCTGCCGCCCCTCGACACAGGGAAGACAAGGAGGAGCAGGCGAGGGTGGGAGAGGAGGGAGAACCCTGGGAAGACCAGAGACAAGGTACCGGGAGTGCATGCCACGAAGGCGCTGCACTGAAGGGTGACCAAGGCGGTGGTGCCAGAGGACGGTCTGGTGCGACAAGGTGCGACATGAGCAGGGGGCCGACAGCTGACCTGACGCAGACCCCTGCCCCCCTTGCCTCTGCCGCCCTTGCGCCTCCCACTAGGAGCAGACGCAGCCCCGACCCCCTCAGCACCGAGGTAGTCGACAGCAGCAGCAGATGCAATGGAGGGGAGGATGGGGGAGGGGGAGCACCCCTCAAAGAAGGGAGTGCGAGGGTCGCCACGAGAGGCACCTACAGCTACAATGCTCTTCTCAGCTGCGAGGAGTTCCTTCTCGAGCAGGTCAACAGTGAGGTCGGTAGGGGAGAGGGCGAGAAAGTGGTCCCTGACAGTGTGAAGGGAGTCAGGGAGGCGGGTGACCAGGTGATAGAGTGTGAGGTACATCGGGGGAGGGTTCTTGGCTAGGAAATCGGGGGGAAGCGCGGCACGGTAGCGAAGATCACTAGTACGAAGGTGCGTGATGAGGTCAGCTACAGTGGCAAAGGCAGACAGATCGGGGAAGAGATAGGGCAGTGAGAGACGGCCTATCGCAGCAGTGGGAGGGGAGGAGTAGCGTGCAACGACAGCGTCGTACAGCTCCTTAGCGGTCTTATGCTGGCCAAAGTGCTCGCGCTCATCTAGCGGTAGGTGGCTGCGAACGGCTAGGCGAGCATGAGCGTCACGTGTCTGCCACTGTGATCGAGCAGTGCTGTCAGCAGTAGCAGCAGGCGGGGGAGCGGCGCCGGACGTGTGGTAAAAAAGGGAAACATCTTTCTTGGCAGTGATCTGGAGGAACAGGTGCAGGTCATCGAGCCAAACGTCAAACTTAATCGGACGGCCCTCAGAGTCAAACGTGAGAACGGTAGGACTAGCCATAGTGGTAGTAGCAGTAGCAGTAGTAGCAGTAGCAGTAGTAGCAGTAGCAGCAGTAGCAGTAGCAGAAGTAACAGAAGCAGTAGTAGCAGCAGGAGGGGCAGTAAGAGCAGTTGCTGCAGGTAGGGCGGCGCGGCTCGGTCAGGGCGGCGCGATTCGGGCGGCGCGACTCGGGCGGCGCGGCTCGGGCGGCGCGGCTCGGGTAGGTAAGACGGCGCGACGGCGGGCCTATGCTCGGTGCGCGGCGGCGCCTAGAGTGCGGCTGCGCGCGGGCCGTGGCTGCGTTCGTGCGGCGGCTAAGCGCTAGCAGCAGCAGCCGACGCGCGATCGCCGCTGCGCGCTGGCTGCGTCCTGCGGGCGGGCGGCTGTGGGTCGCGCGTCGGCCTAGGGGCGAGCGGGGCCTACGGGCGACGGCCTGCTGGGGCTCGCGAGAAAAAATCGAGCCGCCCTAGGCGGCGAATTTCCTACGCGCGCTAAAACGGCGGGGCCGTGCTCGGGCTGCTAGCGGGCTGCAAACGGGCAGCGTGAGAGGAGAGAGCGCACGAGGGCGCACTAGGAGAGAGGCGCACGAGGGCGCTAAAAAAAGGGCGCACGAGGGCACCTCTAGCGGAACGGTGGGCCCTTAGGTCTAGAACCTAAGCTCTTAATACCATGTTAGAAACAAGAAATGATTGAACTAGGAAGGTTGGTGGTACAAGTATGAAACCCTAAAGTATTGTACCCCCTAAAGGCTAACCCACTGTAGCCTACACAGCAATAACATATATGATGTTTGACAATGCATATTCGCCCCTATTGTCGGTGTGATGACGTGGAAACATTGGCAAGTGCATATTGTACAGAAGGCCCCCCCCCCTTTTTTTCCCCTGTCAACATCTGCAATAATGTTTTTTCAGTGTACATTTCATGTCTCGCACAAGATGTTATTCGTCATGCGTGCTGACGATAATGCACTGAAATATGCATCTTGAGCATGCGGACATTTATATATTTTCATTGTTCAACATGTTTTCCATCGTTTTGATCGGAATGAGTAAATGAAAAAAAACTTTTTTTTGGTAGAATTTCCGACATTGAATTGTATAAGATTGTCCTGAAAGTGTTTTTATGTTGCGCTCAAAGAGTATTGTCCAAATGAGCCATCTGTAACACCTGTCACAATTTCGTGGGGACGCACGGTAACTCGCCAATTGTCGAAATACCCGAAACCCGTTGAGATGAACTAGCCTGTACATTTGCAAGTTTTCGAAAGGGAAACCACGTTACTGTGATGCTGCAGTGAAATATGGATCCTAAGCAGGGTCGATCTCGGGTACAGGAAGCTTCAGGATCGAATACAAACATGTGTGGCGAACCTGTGTTTTGCTTCGCCAGGGTACTCTCAACGAAAACAGTTCTCGCTACTCTTCCAGTTAGTGTTTAAAACCCTAGAAACAAAAAACGCTTTGCCATGCTGACCTCGGGCTTTAATTTCCCCTCCTAGGTTTTCTGAAGAGTCTCGTCCGCCAGCCTCCCTCTACCTTTGCTCGCCTCTCCTCGGAGCCTTCGGGCCCCTCGGTACTTCTTTCAGAGACGGTGTTTTCCAGCGACGACAACTAGTAGTTGTAGCAAAACTAACGTTAAGTAGCGGTGGCATCCTTGAGCCACACCGATGCAGTCAGCAGATGATTACTAGTAGTAGGAACCTACCATACATTGCGCTACGAGTTCCGATGTATGCCACGCATAGAACTCGTTCGTCCGCCACGCGCCGCCGCGTGGCGCCTCCGTGGTCAATGCGTGCCGACGCAGCAGCTCGGCTTCTCCTTTGCGCGGCCCTTGCGCTTTCCACCGCCGCAGATTGCTCCTTCTCTTCCGCCAACCACCCACTGCCTCGGCGACAAGCCCCCCGTCGGCCTAACCAGCGCGTGCTGTCTCCCCTTGCTCGGCCCATCCGCGCCCAGCGCTCGCTCCTCAAGCTCGACGCCGCCACCGCCGCGGCCGCAAGGCCCGTGGCTTTGGAGGCGTCGCAACGTGAGCTCGCTGCCCTCCGCCAGGACTCCAGCCGTCGCTGGAAGTGGACTGCTGTAACGCAATTTGCGCAGATGATAACGTTGCCTGAGCTGCAGCCTGTGCCTGAGCCTGTGCCTGAGCATGATGTGCCTGAGCCTGAGCCGCGGCCTGTGCCTGCGAGCCGTAGCTTCGTTCACTTGAGCCGGGGCTCTAGTCCTAGCGGCTTCTTCTGCATCTCGAACCATCGCGTTTTTACGTCCTCAGTGCTGGCAGGACGCTGGTCCGGCCCAACCGCTGAGACGCTCATCTAATTTCACCCCCTTCCCCTCCTTCGTTCGGGCGCTCGCTGCACATGCGCGCAGTCAACGAGATTGTGAAGGTGCAGGCGACGTGGGGCGCGTGGGCGGGCAACAGCAACGGCACCACTGCGTGCTCTGCGTGGCCGGGCGTGACATGCAGTCCTAACGGACTGGTCATCGCATTGTGAGTGCCATTGCCCCCTACTGCCCCCATTGCTCCCACCATTGCCCCACATGACCACCTTCACTAATAATGCCTCGTTACGTTAGCTACTGGGTCAAAACGAGGGTGATATTGCCCCTCAACCATTACGCCCCACAGGCGTTACGCTCACTGTTCACCACTTGACGTTCAGACCTGCACGCGCCTGGGCGTGTGGACTGAGTTGCCCGCAAACGCGAGAGTTGCGTGCACGTGGAGGAAATGGTTCCTGCAGCAATGAATGTGCAAGGGAATGTTCGCAGCAGGGAATGTTCGCAGCAGGGAATGTTCGCAGCAGGGAATGTTAGCAGCAGGGAATGTTCGCAGCAGGGAATGTTCGCAGCAGGGAATGTTCGCAGCAGGGAATGTCCGCAGCAGGGAATGTTCGCAGCAGGGAATGTTCGCAGCAGGGAATGTTCGCAGCAGGGAATGTCCGCAGCAGGGAATGTTCGCAGCAGGGAATGTTCGCAGCAGGGAATGTTCGCAGCAGGGAATGTTCGCAGCAGGGAATGTTAGCAGCAGGGAATGTTCGCAGCAGGGAATGTTCACAGCAGGGAATGTTTGCAGCAGGGAATGTCCGCAGCAGGGAATGTTCGCAGCAGGGAATGTTCGCAGCAGGGAATGTTCGCAGCAGGGAATGTTCGCAGCAGGGAATGTTAGCAGCAGGGAATGTTCGCAGCAGGGAATGTTCGCAGCAGGGAATGTTCGCAGCAGGGAATGTCCGCAGCAGGGAATGTTCGCAGCAGGGAATGTTCGCAGCAGGGAATGTTCGCAGCAGGGAATGTCCGCAGCAGGGAATGTTCGCAGCAGGGAATGTTCGCAGCAGGGAATGTTCGCAGCAGGGAATGTTCGCAGCAGGGAATGTTCGCAGCAGGGAATGTTCGCAGCAGGGAATGTCCGTGCAGGAGGCTGCGAAACGGCTGGAAGTGCGCATTCGCGGCACATGGTATCGACGTGCCGAAGAAAGAACCCGCCCCTCGTGTCGAGGACTGCGGACCGTAGGGGGAGTTCAGACATGTGCACCCCAGCCTGACACAACAAACACACCCCAGTTGGGTTGCAATATCTCCAACACGCGCGCCTCATTGTTATCATGCGTTTCACGCGCCTCAGCTCTCCCTTGGTCTGGAATTCTCCGCAGCCCATGTACTACACTCATTGCTGTGCATCACCTGCTTTTGTTCTGAATGGGCTGGACGTGAGTGAGTGGTGGGTGAGTGGTGGGGGCGAGAGCTGGGAGGAGGCGGTCGAGATTGATGGATGGGGTAAGGGGCATGGGAGAGGAATAGTAGGGGAAAAGTGGTGGAGGCGGGGTGTGGGAGGGGATGGGTAGTGGGGTGGTGTGAGTAAAGGGGTCGGGTGGGGAGGGATGGGAGCATGGCGTGGTTGCGTGCGTGTGGTGGGTGGCAGGGATTCAAAGGCCGTGGCGGTGGAGGGCAGCGCCACCATACCTGCCTCCATCACCAACCTCGCCGCTCTGCAGTACCTGTCCGTCCCCAGTCTCCCTCCCCACCACTCCATCCACACTGCATTGCGTGCACCATGCCATCACTCTTTCACCATCCATCATAGTCCCTCCAATTCTTGCCCTCGGTCGCCGTGCTTGCTCGTCCATGCCCCGCCTCACCAGGAAGTTTCAAACCGGCTATTTCTATGCAGAGATCCCCCCCATCTCGCCCCCCACTCGCTTGATAAGCCATACCCGACTTCCCCCACTCGCTGCCTTTGCACTCTTCAACTCTGCAGCAGTTGGTGCAGCAGCTGGGATTTGATCTGCACCAAGGCATCGATCTACACGCCTCATTCCGCCTCCCTCCTGCCTCCCCACGTCCCCAGGGATCTGACAAACGAGCAGCTGGTGGGGCCCATCCCATCCCTCGCAAGTCTCTCCAAGCTCACTCTCCTGTATGTGCCCCGCCCTCATCCGCACTCCAAGCTCACTCTCCTGTACGTGCCCCGCCCTCTTCCGCACTCCAAGCTCACTCTCCTGTACACACGACGCACCGGAACCATGCATGTCACGGTGGCCTCGCCTCGTCTGAGTCTGGAAAGTCTCGTGGGCGTGCCCTTGTCCCTCTGCCCTTGTCCCTCTGCCCTTGTTGCCCTGCCCTTGTTCCCCTGCCCCTATCTCCTTCCCTCTGCCCCCCTGCCCTTGACCCACTGCGCTGCTTCTATCCGATTATTATAGCTCTTGCTTTCTCCTTTCTCAAGAAGTTGATGTCTCTTCTATCCTCTGCATGTGCGGCATGGCTGACTGCATGTGCGGCATGTCCTCAGAGCCATTGGAGCAGATGGCAGCCAGCTGACCGGCACCTACGAGGGACTGGTGTGGCTCTCCTCCCTCTCCAACCTGCAATCGCTGTACGCCCTACACACTGTCATGCCCTGCTCACACTTCACACACACTTCACACACCCTGATTCATGTGCCACTCGGCATGCAGTTGGCACTCCATTTCGTCTCTAAGCCATGCTGCCCTCATTGCTGCACGCCACGCCCCATCGCTCCAGCAAGTTGTGCACAAGCCCGTCCTGTCCCCACCCTCCGCCCACCCCATGCCATGGCTTCTCGCACGTCCCACAAACCCCCCACCACCACCCACCAGGAATCTTTTTGGCTTGGCGGAGTTCACAGGGAGCTTGTCCTCTCTGCACGTTGTCTCTCACCTCGAGAATCTTCAAAGCCTGTAAGCTCGATTTTAGTGTGTCAGGAGCCGCTGCTGCCTTGATGCGTCAACTCGTGTAGTTCATATCAGTCAGTGTGTGAACTGACTTTGTGGCCGCCTCTCATTCAGTCTTCAATAGCGTTTACTTTTCTCCATGTGTATGCATGTGCGCAGGACACTCAAATCGCTCACCAATGCCACGGGGGAGATACCCAGGGAGATCCGATACCTCACGGCCCTCACTGCACTGTGAGCTGCACACGGGTGTAAGAGTAGATCAGATGGAACACGCTTGTTCATGTGCACGAGCAGGTTTTCACTGACTGCTCAACTGGCACAAGACCAGCCCTCTGCTATGCCCTTATCCTTGTGCCGTCCCGTTGCATTCTCCCCTGCAGTGATTTGTCATATCTTCGGGCCTTGGAGTTCCCTGCTTGGGTGACTCACCTCTCCATTCTTCAATATCTGTGAGCCATTGCCATTGACACACACCTACCGCCCTTGCTGCTGAGTTTATGATGCACCCTAACAATGCATGTCATAGCCGTGGCCTTGCCTTGTCTGAGTCTGGAAAGTCTCACGGGCGTGCCCTCGTCCCTCTGCCCTTGTCCCTCTATCCTTGCCCCCCTGCCCTTGTCCCCCTGCCCTTGTCATCCTGCCCTTGTCCCCCTGCCCTTCTGCTGCCCTTTGTTAATGTTAGCCCTCAATCTCAATGTTGATGTCCCCCTGCCCATGTCCCCCTGTCATTGTCCCCCTGTCATTGTCCCACTGCCCTTGCCCCCCTGCCCTTCTCCCCTGTCCTTCTCCCCTGCCCTTCTCCCCCTGCCCTTGCATGCAGCAACGTGAACGCGGACGAGCCGCGGCGGCAGGGGTTGTTGTCGGATGACATCTCACACCTCACAGCGCTCACCAGCCTGTGAGTGCAGCGCGCAAAGTTCACAACCTGCAGCGACAATACATGAAACCAAGGAGCCAAGCAGTTCGTGTATGAGTGTGAGAATGGCTAGGCCCATTGCTGCAGCTGCTGCCTGGTAGTCGGATTGGCCACCAGGCAGGCTATATTGGTGTTACTTTTGAGAATTCTCAAAAGTAACACCGCCGATATAGCTGGGGGTGTGCTGCGCTGGACAGCACGTTCCTGCCACTCCTGCGCAAGTGTTTTGAGACGTCTCAAACAACTTCTTCAAGCAAGTCCCTCCCTCATGTGTTATCCTCGTGCCCTGCATCTCGTGCCTGGTGGCACGCAACCACGGCAGATCCCTCTCTGGCAACAACCTGGACGGATACGTGCCTAAGAGCTTCTCCTCTCTCCTCAACCTGCAATACCTGTGAGCGGCTGCCCGCTGTGCCGTGCTGCCGAGCCCCTTGCTGCCACCCTGCCACGCCCCCATGCTGTCATCCTTCCGTGGTGCTGTTACCAATCCGTTAAGCTGCAACCCACTGAATGCGTATCTTGTCAGCCCTAGCAATTACCTGCGTTTGTAATTGGGAGCTCCACCTTCTTCTTGTTTCAGGGCTTTGAGTTTCAACCATCTCCAAGGCACCATTCCTGCCACCCTATCTGCCCTAACAGCCCTCACTGCAATGTAACTTCCCAGCATGCACGTCGCTTCGCTCCGCCCGACCGCCGCTCTCTCACCTTAGTTGGAGTATATGTGTTTCGCGTTTCATACGCTAGCGTTTATCCGCTCGCGTATAAACGCCGAATGCCTCTTGGGAGGGGTCCGGTACGCAGTGAATACGCAGGCCCGGGCACACAAATTTCTCGCTGGGCAGTATGTTAGGTTAAGAGGGGGGTCGATAAGAACGAGGTCGGTTGGAACTACGTAAAAAAATCCGAAGGTGAACATCGAATGGAGAAATGAGCTGCATTTCTTCTAGTAGAGGTGAGGCTGGTTGAATCCAACTCTTCCAGTCGACATTGTGTTGGAAGGAATTGGGATTGAATGGGGTGGAGTGGGTTGCGCAACGGTAAACAGGAGGGGTTGTTGTAGATCTGCTTCGAAAATCAATTTCGAAGTTGAGATTGGGACGTGCGAAGGCCGAATTTTAGTTTGCCATGTCGAGAGCTCAAACCCAGCTTCTGAAATTTTTTTTTTCGGACTGCCTTAGCGTTTTTCTGCGTTCCTACACCAAAAACGCAGCAGTCATTTGTTTAAGGCGTATAGACTCAAAACGCAAACAAATTTCCAACTTAGTCTCTCACCATCTCGTTGGTCACCCCCGTATCACCCCCTTGGTCATGGACTGCAGAGCTGCTCTTTCTGCCACCCTCCCACTGCAGAGACCTCTCATGGAATTATCTGTCAGGTTCCATCCCCCGTGTCTTCACCACCAACATTCAAAGCATGTACGCATCGCGCCTCCAACCCCCACCCCACAATCTCCTGTATCCTCTTCTTCCTCTGTAAACCCTCATGCTACCCTCTCTCTCTAACACGATCCTTCGTTATTAGATAGAAATAATGGTACATCTCAAACAAGCAACTACAACGTAAGAAGCCAACTGGGTGAGTGTAATGTAAGCCCGTCCTATTGCAGTTTGGCCACCGGCTCTGTCTAGCACCGAGAAATAATCCCGTGGGCTCAATGCCTCATTTGGTCTACCGACTGGTTGATTCTCAACCTGCACCGCAAAGTTAAAGTCAGTGAGGACACTGACCACGCGACAGACCAGTGCTGGCATAACTGGTGTAGGAAACTGTGGGCCTGTTAAGTGGAGGGATCGGCATTGAAAAGGCATCTCGCTGCAGTGTCTGCCAGTAACTTGAGGAACGCAGGAAGCTCCCCGCAAGGGCACCCGTAGGTCTTGTGTCTTGACCGCCAGGAGGAAAAAGCTGACTTACTCTGCCCTGTTGCGGTACTGGTCGGACTTCTCAGCGCACATCTCTGGCAGCCCATCCCCTCCCTTTCCGTGCTTGCGGGTCGCGGGTGCTTATGGGATCAGTGACAGTCACGTCACAAACCCACACTGCCCCCGCCGTGTGGTCCCGTATGGCGAGGTCCGCGGTCTTGTCATCGACCGGGGCAAAAGGCCGTCGATTCCTTGCCAACAATGAAACCGGCATCCTGCACCATGCGTATGCTTTCGTTGCGCAGTGCAATGTGCTTGTTGGTTCGTCCAGAGCTGGTGCCACAGTGAAGAAGGTCGTTAGGTAGTCGCGTCGCGGGTCCAGTATGTAGACCTTGTCACTGCATTCACGCTTGCTCGGAGCAGAAAACGGTAGTCTGAGTCAGAATCGTAGTGCCATGGTGAAGTGGGCGGGGCTGAGGCGCAGCGATAAAAAGAGGGGGACGGCCAGCAGCCACTTCCCCCCCCTGTAGCCCGAGAGGAGATCAGCCACTATGTTTGCCCCGCATTGGGGTTGACGTCCATGCCTTGTGAGGCTGCGACTCGCTAAATGTCAAACACTGTTGCAGTGTGTGACCTGATGGTGTCTGTCCCTGAGAATCCAGCAGCTCCCATGCAGTTTCTGGGAGCTCACTAAGCCAGTCTTGCCAGTCGTGTACTGCCACCAGCCAGTCCCCAGCCCCGGGCCCGAGCAGCGACTGCAAGCACTGGATGTAGCGGGCCGCTTGAATCGCCAGTGAGAGCGCCTGTTGCAGCTTTGGGCTGTTGGGTTCCCGGTACCCTGCTTCTAGGGCCGGTGCCACCTCAGGAGGTAGCGTTGCCTCCGCTAACGCGAGGCGCGAAGGGAGGGCCGTGTTGGAGCGGGGGTCCGGGTCCATGAGGCGAGTGTCCGGGGGACGGTGGAGATTATGGAAACACGGTAAGCATAGCTCCCTCCCACTGCCGGGTCGGTTAGGCTCAGCCCAAGAGTCATCATGGGTAGCGCAGCATGACGCCAGATGCGGGCCTGTTTGGCTGTGCAGTGCACGTGGATGGTGCGTGTAGAAGCCCTTCTTTCCATGCAGGCCACTCCTCCATCGGTGGCACCTCCGGGGGGCTGGTCAGGCGAGGAATGAGGCTCGCCGACTGTCGTATCGGGTGAGGAGGGGGAGGCAGAGCTGGGGGTCCATGTGGACCAAGAGTGGTAGTAGTTCCGCCATGTCGGCGAGCCGTTCCCTCGCCAGCATGCGCAGCCTGTTGGAGGGCCGATGGGGCTCCCCAGCATGCATATGGCCTCTGGTCTAGCCGTTATACCGGCTGGGAGTGTGCTGGGGTTGATGGCAGAGGCTAGACATGAGCATATCGACGAGCCTTGACTCGGCTCGACAGGCTCGGCTCGGGTTACCCCCGAGCCGAGCCTTTTTTTTTGGCCCTCTGTCTCGGATCGAGCCGAGTCGAGCATGGCTCGCCGAGCCGGCCGAGCCGCTCGGCTCGACGAAGCAATTTTGGCGAGTCAGGGATGGCTCGCGGGTCAATTTGGCTCGTCGCGAGCCTTTGAATGGCTCGACGTTCCTATGCGAGCGAAAAGTCGGGGGTCCGAGAGCTTGAATGTAACTGATACGTTCGTTCCTGTCCGTGAATCGCGTTTTGCTAGTGGTAACAAATTCCTGGAACGGGATACTAATCATCCCTAGATCGGGAATGCACATCTCATCGGGGAGGGAGATGCACGGTTAACAAAACAGTAGAGGCCAATCTCAGCGACACTGGGACGAGTAACATGTAGCGAAAAATAGGCGAAACCTTTGCCCAATCTCAGTGACACGAGCATTCCATAAAGGAGGCGAAAACTGTTGAAATCTCGTCAACTCTCGACTAGTTTCGCATGTGCGTTTGTATTTGAAAAAATTGTTCCCCAAGGTGTTCGCCAGCATTCAGCTTCGTTGAGCTTAATTTGTTCGCTAATCCCACAGCAGGCCTCCCAACTTTCCCTCCACCAAATTCGACCAAATTTCGCGAGTTGAAATTAGGGTTACTGTGTCAGAAATTCGAAAAGCAGTGTCAGATCTGATTGCTCGACAACCTCGCGCGTGTTTCCGTTTCATGCATCGAAAGCTGACCTTCGAAATGGGGGCGGAGGGTATGTCTCCTTTACCTTCGACATATGGTCGGGCGGGAATCGTCGCGGGTACATGGTGATCACGGCACATTGGATCTCCAAGGATTGGCAATTGTGTGTTGCAACACTGGACTTTGTCGATCTGGGAGAGAAGCACACTGCTGTGGTCATTGCAGATGCCTTTGAAGATGTGCTGCACGAGTGGGGATTGGTGGACCGTTGTTTCGGCGTCACCACCGACAACGCAGAGAGCAACACTGCCGCGCTGCGCATTCTAGCTGGGCAAGGGCATTATGGGAGGGAAGAGCCAATTGTCGCGGCCACCATGCACTTTCGGTGAGTACAGGTTGGGAGAGAGTGGCTGGTTTGGTTGCTGTAGGGCTTTTGCATCCACAGAAATGTCACAATCCACTCAACCGAACTCTTCCCTCCTTCAGGTGCCTCGCACACATCCTGAACCTCGCTGTGCAGCGGGCTTTAGGAGTAGATGCGGTGAAGGTGCCACTGGTACGCTTACGCGAGATTGCCTCCTTTATCGGGTGGTCGCCTAAGCGCACCGCAATCTTTTTCAAGATTCAGAAAGCCTTGAATCAGGGACAGCAACCTTTGAAGCTGGTCCAAGATAGTGACACGCGGTGGGGTTCCACCCACGAGATGATAGCGCGTGCTTTGGAGCTACAGCCAGCCCTGACAGTCTTCTTCCAGCAAGAGAAGGTATGTGTGGGTGGGGTCTGCAGTGTTTGATGTATGGCTGGTCCATCCATTCCCTAGACTTCATTTCCCTAAACATGGGCTCGTCATTCCTTTGTGTGTGTGTGTACACATCAACCAACAGGGTACCACCAAGGCTGAAAAGGAACGGGTCAGTGAGCTGAGCCTCAGTGCTGAGCACTGGGAGAGCCTCACGGAATTGGTGGAGTTTTTGGACCCGTTCAACTCCGTCACCCTGGCAGCCGAGGGATCTATGTATCCCACCGTCAGCGCTGTTGTTCCTCAATTCAATGAACTGATGGACCAACTAGAGGGCGCGTACCACGATGTCCAGTCGCCCCCCACCGAGCTTCGCAAGCAGCTCATCAACGCAGCCCTTCCTCTCCTGAAGAAGTATTACTATGGGAGCAGTGATGAGCTTGTGGTCGCTACGTTTCTGGACCCGAATTACAAGCTCGATTACTTCAATCTCCCGTTTTGGGAGCTGTCCAACCCCTCAATAGCGGGGGTAGTGGGTGAAGGGTCCCGGGCTGTGAGCTCTGTTGCTCCGGAGGAAGTGTTGGCGCTTGTGCGCCAACGCTGGGCGCCTTATAAGGCACGTGCAGATCTGGCTGCTGCAGCTCGTGCTGGAGTGAGCACAGTGACAGTGGGACAGATGACTGGTATGGGCGGTGGGGGGATGCGTGCGGGGAGTGGTGGTGCTGGGGGGGATGCTATGGCCAAGAATCCCATCAAGGAACGCATCCAGGCTATGAGAGCTAGCCAGGACAGTCGGCCTCGAGATGACATAACCATTTATCTTGAAGAGCCGCCCGTGGATGTGTGCCCGCTCGCTTATTGGCGTGAGCGGAAAGATCTTCCCTCCTTGCAGGCAATGGCAATGGATTACCTTGCCATTCCTGCAACATCCGCTCCTAGCGAGCGTGTTTTCTCTCAGAGCAGGAACCTCATTACGTGGCATCGCCATCGCTTGAGCGCCGAGCGCATACGTGCGTGCATGACGCTCAAGACGTGGGTGAAGTCTTATCCTGGGGTGATGCTTGGTGGAGCTGATGCGGCTGCGGTATTAGAGGAGCTTGGAGTGGAGGGGGGTGAAGAGGAAGACTATGGGGAGTTGCGTGCTTGACCTCTCGCTAGATGACATCATAATTTATCCGAGGACTTGGTAGTTTTAGGACCAGGTAGTTTTAGGACCAATAATATCAACCATGACTTTCTGTGATTGCCATGGTATTCTCATTTCGTTTAGCCAGAGGTAGGAAGTAATTTTCTGGCAGGGTGATCCCATTCTGATTAATGCTGGCCATTGGCTCAGTGATAACATCAAAACTGCATTGCACAAACATGAAACATGTGAGCCTTTTGAGGGTGAACACTACGTGAGTATGATGCCACAACCTTTCTGCAATATAGATGTAAGTACTCTGACATGTAGCACTAGCAATGAATTCTCTGCTCAAACACCAAAGCTGACACCAATAACAGCAGCACCTACACGAGCAGCATCACTGGTGGGAGAACGGAGGGCAAGGCGGGAGAGAGGAATCATGATCCTAGGGGAGGTGGGGTGGCAAGAGAGTGGAACAGGAGGGTGGTTGGTTGGAGAAGAGAGGAGATCCTCCTAGTAGGTAGGCTGGTGATATGTGACTGTGACACAAGGAGAGAGGGAATGAGAACAGATGTGATTGCGGGGCGATGCAAGTCGTGTGACTGAACGAACAGAAACATATCAGAATGCACAAGAAGGGAGGGTGAGCATATGTGACTGCTAGGGTCGAGCCTGGCTCGGCTCGTCACAAGCCGATGTGGCTCGACCCAAGCCCTTGAGTGGCTCGGGTATGATACCCAAGCCACGAGCCAAGTGAGTTCACAAATCGGCTCGGCCTGGCTCGACTCGACTCGGCTCGAGGTTAAGGCGAGCCACTGCCGGCTCGAGTCAAGCCTGGCTCGACTCGTCCCGTGCTCATGTCTAGCAGAGGCTGACCATGCTTCACATCTGGCTGGGCTGTGTTGGATGCCCAGCCGAGTAAGGGCCGTGGTGAGGTGTGTGAACGCCGCAACCATCACCGACCCTATCAGCATAAAGTCTCTTTCCGTTGAGCTGCCTCCTCTGCCACTCACCGGGGTAGGTTTTGCTGCCCGGGGTTCCCTGTTCTTGGTCTTGGGGCAGCCAATGGTGACATCGGTCACCCAAGACTCTCATGTTGTTCGGTAATGAGGCAGCACAATGTCTGCTCGAGGTGAGTTTTTTGTGGGCGGCGTACAGCGTTGACCCTTTGTGAATGATGAGCCCTGCTTCTTGGGCAATTCGGGCCGCCAGGTTGACATAGTTGTTGTGTGTGGTGGTCCTGTCCGCTCCGACCCCGCAGCGCGTAGGAGACGATAGGTAGGGTGAGCTCTCCAATAGGCTCTTTGCTTTTGCAGGTACAGTTTCCTGGCTCGTTGATGGGGAGCCCCATCCGGAAGGCCAGGGCAGTGTGGTAAACTGCCCGGGGCTGAAGCACAGGTCCCGGCTGAACGGTATTGCAAGGAGCCAATTTCCAGCTCTCGGGCCTTGAAACACCATATTGATCATTGAGGAGTCACCTCCCCTTCCTATCCAGAGCACTTGGCTACAACGCCTTTAGTGGCCCCATCCCGCCTCACCTTGCACTACCCCAACTCTCTGCCCTGTAAGGCCCGCCCCTCTATGCCCTGCTTCCTTGCACTCATTGTCTGCATCCCATAAACTTGGCCCCTTGCTCTCTGCCCTCATTTCTCTGCCTGGTTCCATCCGCCCATATATGTACCCTTGCCTCTCCATGTTTCAACTCTCTCCTTTGTGCCCTGCTGGGCGGCCCACTCGTGTCTGCAGGCAGCTGTCCAGCAATGAGTTCACAGGCGACATTCCCAGCACCTTCACCCGCCTCACCGCCATGAATAAGCTGTACGCCTCACCGCCATGAATAAGCTGTACGCCTCACCTTCATGAATGTGCTGTACGCCTCACCGCCATGGGCTTTGATTGCTCATTGCTGTCCCTTTGCCAATGAAGGTTCTTGCCAAGCTCTTCGCCTGCATCCCACGTGCCTGCATCCCACGTGCCTGCACCCCACGTGCCTGCATCCCACGTGCCTGCATCCCACGTGCCTGCATCCCACGTGCCTGCATCCCCCGTGCCTGCATCCCACGTGCCTGCACCCCACGTGCCTGCATCCCACGTGCCTGCACCCCACGTGCCTGCACCCCACGTGCCTGCATCCCACGTGCCTGCATCCCACGTGCCTGCATCCCACGTGCCTGCATCCCCCGTGCCTGCACCCCACGAACCTGCATCCCCCGTGCCTGCATCCCCCGTGCCTGTACCCCACGAACCTGCATCCCACGTGCCTGCATCCCACGTGCCTGCATCCCACGTGCCTGCATCCCACGTGCCTGCATCCCACGTGCCTGCATCCCCCGTGCCTGCATCCCACGTGCCTGCATCCCACGTGCCTGCATCCCACGTGCCTGCATCCCACGTGCCTGCATCCCACGTGCCTGCATCCCCCGTGCCTGCATCCCACGTGCCTGCATCCCACGTGCCTGCATCCCACGTGCCTGCATCCCCCGTGCCTGCATCCCACGTGCCTGCATCCCACGGGCCTGCATCCCACGTGCCTGCATCCCCCGTGCCTGCATCCCACGTGCCTGCATCCCCCGTGCCTGCATCCCACGTGCCTGCATCCCACGTGCCTGCATCCCACGTGCCTGCATCCCACGTGCCTGCATCCCACGTGCCTGCATCCCCCGTGCCTGCATCCCACGTGCCTGCATCCCACGTGCCTGTATCCCACGTGCCTGCATCCCACGTGCCTGCATCCCACGTGCCTGCATCCCCCGTGCCTGCATCCCACGTGCCTGCATCCCATGTACCTGCATCCCCCGTGTCTGCATCCCACGTGCCTGTATCCCACGTGCCTGCATCCCACGTGCCTGCACCCCACGTGCCTGCATCCCACGTGCCTGCATCCCCCGTGCCTGCATCCCACGTGCCTGCATCCCCCGTGCCTGCATCCCACGTGCCTGCATCCCACGTGCCTGCATCCCACGTGCCTGCATCCCACGTGCCTGCATCCCACGTGCCTGCATCCCCCGTGCCTGCATCCCACGTGCCTGCATCCCACGTGCCTGCATCCCACGTGCCTGCATCCCACGTGCCTGCATCCCACGTGCCTGCATCCCCCGTGCCTGCATCCCACGTGCCTGCATCCCACGTGCCTGCATCCCACGTGCCTGCATCCCCCGTGCCTGCATCCCACGTGCCTGCATCCCACGTGCCTGCACCCCACGTGCCTGCATCCCACGTGCCTGCATCCCACGTGCCTGCATCCCACGTGCCTGCATCCCACGTGCCTGCATCCCACGTGCCTGCATCCCACGTGCCTGCATCCCACGTGCCTGCATCCCACGTGCCTGCATCCCACGTGCCTGCATCCCACGTGCCTGCATCCCACGTGCCTGCATCCCACGTGCCTGCATCCCACGTGCCTGCATCCCACGTGCCTGCATCCCCCGTGCCTGCATCCCACGTGCCTGCATCCCCCGTGCCTGCATCCCACGTGCCTGCATCCCCCGTGCCTGCATCCCACGTGCCTGCATCCCCCGTGCCTGCATCCCACGTGCCTGCATCCCACGTGCCTGCATCCCCCGTGCCTGCATCCCACGTGCCTGCATCCCACGTGCCTGCATCCCACGTGCCTGCATCCCACGTGCCTGCATCCCACGTGCCTGCATCCCACGTGCCTGCACCCCACGTGCCTGCATCCCCCGTGCCTGCATCCCCCGTGCCTGCATCCCACGTGCCTGCATCCCCCGTGCCTGCATCCCACGTGCCTGCACCCCACGTGCCTGCATCCCCCGTGCCTGCATCCCCCGTGCCTGCATCCCACGTGCCTGCATGCCCCGTGCCTGCATCCCACGTGCCTGCACCCCACGTGCCTTCATCCCACGTGCCTGCATCCCACGTGCCTGCATCCCACGTGCCTGCATCCCCCGTGCCTGCATCCCACGTGCCTGCATCCCACGTGCCTGTATCCCACGTGCCTGCATCCCACGTGCCTGCATCCCACGTGCCTGCATCCCCCGTGCCTGCATCCCACGTGCCTGCATCCCACGTGCCTGTATCCCACGTGCCTGCATCCCACGTGCCTGCATCCCACGTGCCTGCATCCCCCGTGCCTGCATCCCACGTGCCTGCATCCCACGTGCCTGCATCCCACGTGCCTGCATCCGACGTGCCTGCATCCCACGTGCCTGCATCCCACGTGCCTGCATCCCACGTGCCTGCATCCCACGTGCCTGCATCCCACGTGCCTGCATCCCACGTGCCTGCATCCCACGTGCCTGCATCCCACGTGCCTGCATCCCACGTGCCTGCATCCCCCGTGCCTGCATCCCACGTGCCTGCATCCCACGTGCCTGCATCACACGTGCCTGCATCCCACGTGCCTGCATCCCACGTGCCTGCATCCCCCGTGCCTGCATCCCACGTGCCTGCATCCCACGTGCCTGCATCCCACGTGCCTGCATCCCCCGTGCCTGCATCCCACGTGCCTGCATCCCACGTGCCTGCACCCCACGTGCCTGCATCCCACGTGCCTGCATCCCACGTGCCTGCATCCCACGTGCCTGCATCCCACGTGCCTGCATCCCCCGTGCCTGCATCCCACGTGCCTGCATCCCACGTGCCTGCATCCCCCGTGCCTGCATCCCCCGTGCCTGCATCCCCCGTGCCTGCATCCCCCGTGCCTGCATCCCACGTGCCTGCATCCCACGTGCCTGCATCCCCCGTGCCTGCATCCCACGTGCCTGCATCCCACGTGCCTGCATCACACGTGCCTGCATCCCACGTGCCTGCATCCCACGTGCCTGCATCCCCCGTGCCTGCATCCCACGTGCCTGCATCCCACGTGCCTGCATCCCACGTGCCTGCATCCCCCGTGCCTGCATCCCACGTGCCTGCATCCCACGTGCCTGCACCCCACGTGCCTGCATCCCACGTGCCTGCATCCCACGTGCCTGCATCCCACGTGCCTGCATCCCACGTGCCTGCATCCCCCGTGCCTGCATCCCACGTGCCTGCATCCCACGTGCCTGCATCCCCCGTGCCTGCATCCCCCGTGCCTGCATCCCCCGTGCCTGCATCCCCCGTGCCTGCATCCCACGTGCCTGCATCCCACGTGCCTGTATCCCACGTGCCTGCATCCCACGTGCCTGCATCCCACGTGCCTGCATCCCCCGTGCCTGCATCCCACGTGCCTGCATCCCACGTGCCTGCATCCCATGTACCTGCATCCCCCGTGTCTGCATCCCACGTGCCTGCATCCCACGTGCCTGCACCCCACGTGCCTGCATCCCACGTGCCTGCATCCCCCGTGCCTGCATCCCACGTGCCTGCATCCCCCGTGCCTGCATCCCACGTGCCTGCATCCCACGTGCCTGCATCCCACGTGCCTGCATCCCACGTGCCTGCATCCCACGTGCCTGCATCCCCCGTGCCTGCATCCCACGTGCCTGCATCCCACGTGCCTGCATCACACGTGCCTGCATCCCACGTGCCTGCATCCCACGTGCCTGCATCCCCCGTGCCTGCATCCCACGTGCCTGCATCCCACGTGCCTGCATCCCACGTGCCTGCATCCCCCGTGCCTGCATCCCACGTGCCTGCATCCCACGTGCCTGCACCCCACGTGCCTGCATCCCACGTGCCTGCATCCCACGTGCCTGCATCCCACGTGCCTGCATCCCACGTGCCTGCATCCCCCGTGCCTGCATCCCACGTGCCTGCATCCCCGTGCCTGCATCCCACGTGCCTGCATCCCACGTGCCTGCATCCCACGTGCCTGCATCCCACGTGCCTGCATCCCCCGTGCCTGCATCCCACGTGCCTGCATCCCCCGTGCCTGCATCCCACGTGCCTGCATCCCCCGTGCCTGCATCCCACGTGCCTGCATCCCACGTGCCTGCATCCCACGTGCCTGCATCCCCCGTGCCTGCATCCCACGTGCCTGCATCCCACGTGCCTGCATCCCCCGTGCCTGCATCCCACGTGCCTGCATCCCACGTGCCTGCATCCCACGTGCCTGCATCCCACGTGCCTGCATCCCCCGTGCCTGCATCCCACGTGCCTGCATCCCACGTGCCTGCACCCCACGTGCCTGCATCCCACGTGCCTGCATCCCACGTGCCTGCATCCCCCGTGCCTGCATCCCACGTGCCTGCATCCCACGTACCTGCATCCCACGTGCCTGCATCCCACGTGCCTGCATCCCACGTGCCTGCATCCCACGTGCCTGCATCCCCCGTGCCTGCATCCCACGTGCCTGCACCCCACGTGCCTGCATCCCACGTGCCTGCATCCCACGTGCCTGCATCCCACGTGCCTGCATCCCCCGTGCCTGCATCCCACGTGCCTGCATCCCACGTGCCTGCATCCCACGTGCCTGCATCCCACGTGCCTGCATCCCACGTGCCTGCATCCCACGTGCCTGCATCCCACGTACCTGCATCCCACGTGCCTGCATCCACGTGCCTGCATCCCACGTGCCTGCATCCCACGTGCCTGCATCCCACGTGCCTGCATCCCCCGTGCCTGCATCCCACGTGCCTGCATCCCCCGTGCCTGCATCCCACGTGCCTGCATCCCCCGTGCCTGCATCCCACGTGCCTGCATCCCACGTGCCTGCATCCCCCGTGCCTGCATCCCCCGTGCCTGCATCCCACGTGCCTGCATCCCACGTGCCTGCATCCCACGTGCCTGCATCCCCCGTGCCTGCATCCCACGTGCCTGCATCCCATGTGCCTGCATCCCACGTGCCTGCATCCCACGTGCCTGCATCCCACGTGCCTGCATCCCACGTGCCTGCATTCCCCATGCCTGCATCCCACGTGCCTGCATCCCACGTGCCTGCATCCCCCGTGCCTGCATCCCCCGTGCCTGCATCCCCCGTGCCTGCACCCCACGTGCCTGCATCCCACGTGCCTGCACCCCACGTGCCTGCATCCCACGTGCCTGCATCCCACGTGCCTGCATCCCACGTGCCTGCACCCCACGTGCCTGCACCCCACGTGCCTGCATCCCACGTGCCTGCATCCCACGTGCCTGCATCCCACGTGCCTGCATCCCACGTGCCTGCACCCCACGTGCCTGCATCCCCCGTGCCTGCATCCCACGTGCCTGCATCCCACGTGCCTGCATCCCACGTGCCTGCATCCCACGTGCCTGCATCCCACGTGCCTGCACCCCACGTGCCTTCATCCCACGTGCCTGCATCCCACGTGCCTGCATCCCCCGTGCCTGCATCCCACGTGCCTGCATCCCACGTGCCTGCATCCCACGTGCCTGCATCCCCCGTGCCTGCATCCCCCGTGCCTGCATCCCACGTGCCTGCATCCCCCGTGCCTGCATCCCACGTGCCTGCATCCCACGTGCCTGCATCCCACGTGCCTGCATCCCACGTGCCTGCATCCCACGTGCCTGCATCCCACGTGCCTGCGTCCCACGTACCTGCATCCCACGTGCCTGCATCCCACGTGCCTGCATCCCACGTGCCTGCATCCCACGTGCCTGCATCCCCCGTGCCTGCATCCCACGTGCCTGCATCCCCCATGCCTGCATCCCACGTGCCTGCATCCCCCGTGCCTGCATCCCACGTGCCTGCATCCCACGTGCCTGCATCCCACGTGCCTGCATCCCCCGTGCCTGCATCCCACGTGCCTGCATCCCACGTGCCTGCATCCCCCGTGCCTGCATCCCACGTGCCTGCATCCCACGTGCCTGCATCCCACGTGCCTGCATCCCACGTGCCTGCATCCCACGTGCCTGCATCCCACGTGCCTGGCATCCCACGTACCTGCATCCCACGTGCCTGCATCACACGTGCCTGCATCCCACGTGCCTGCATCCCACGTGCCTGCATCCCCCGTGCCTGCATCCCACGTGCCTGCATCCCCCGTGCCTGCATCCCACGTGCCTGCATCCCCCGTGCCTGCATCCCACGTGCCTGCATCCCACGTGCCTGCATCCCCCGTGCCTGCATCCCCCGTGCCTGCATCCCACGTGCCTGCATCCCACGTGCCTGCATCCCACGTGCCTGCATCCCCCGTGCCTGCATCCCACGTGCCTGCATCCCACGTGCCTGCATCCCACGTGCCTGCATCCCACGTGCCTGCATCCCCCGTGCCTGCATCCCACGTGCCTGCATCCCCCATGCCTGCATCCCACGTGCCTGCATCCCACGTGCCTGCATCCCCCGTGCCTGCATCCCCCGTGCCTGCATCCCCCGTGCCTGCACCCCACGTGCCTGCATCCCACGTGCCTGCATCCCACGTGCCTGCATCCCACGTGCCTGCATCCCACGTGCCTGCATCCCACGTGCCTGCACCCCACGTGCCTGCACCCCACGTGCCTGCATCCCCCGTGCCTGCATCCCCCATGCCTGCATCCCACGTGCCTGCATCCCACGTGCCTGCACCCCACGTGCCTGCATCCCCCGTGCCTGCATCCCCCGTGCCTGCATCCCACGTGCCTGCATCCCACGTGCCTGCATCCCCCGTGCCTGCATCCCACGTGCCTGCACCCCACGTGCCTTCATCCCACGTGCCTGCATCCCCCGTGCCTGCATCCCACGTGCCTGCATCCCACGTGCCTGCATCCCACGTGCCTGCACCCCACGTGCCTGCATCCCCCGTGCCTGCATCCCCCGTGCCTGCATCCCCCGTGCCTGCATCCCCCGTGCCTGCATCCCACGTGCCTGCACCCCACGTGCCTGCATCCCCTGTGCCTGCATCCCCCGTGCCTGCATCCCACGTGCCTGCATCCCCCGTGCCTGCATCCCACGTGCCTGCACCCCACGTGCCTTCATCCCACGTGCCTGCATCCCCCGTGCCTGCATCCCACGTGCCTGCATCCCACGTGCCTGCATCCCACGTGCCTGCATCCCACGTGCCTGCATCCCCCGTGCCTGCATCCCACGTGCCTGCATCCCCCGTGCCTGCATCCCACGTGCCTGCATCCCCCGTGCCTGCATCCCACGTGCCTGCATCCCACGTGCCTGCATCCCACGTGCCTGCATCCCCCGTGCCTGCATCCCACGTGCCTGCATCCCACGTGCCTGCATCCCCCGTGCCTGCATCCCACGTGCCTGCATCCCACGTGCCTGCATCCCACGTGCCTGCATCCCACGTGCCTGCATCCCCCGTGCCTGCATCCCACGTGCCTGCATCCCACGTGCCTGCACCCCACGTGCCTGCATCCCACGTGCCTGCATCCCACGTGCCTGCATCCCCCGTGCCTGCATCCCACGTGCCTGCATCCCACGTACCTGCATCCCACGTGCCTGCATCCCACGTGCCTGCATCCCACGTGCCTGCATCCCACGTGCCTGCATCCCCCGTGCCTGCATCCCACGTGCCTGCACCCCACGTGCCTGCATCCCACGTGCCTGCATCCCCCGTGCCTGCATCCCACGTGCCTGCATCCCCCGTGCCTGCATCCCACGTGCCTGCATCCCACGTGCCTGCATCCCACGTGCCTGCATCCCACGTGCCTGCATCCCACGTGCCTGCATCCCACGTGCCTGCATCCCACGTACCTGCATCCCACGTGCCTGCATCCCACGTGCCTGCATCCCACGTGCCTGCATCCCACGTGCCTGCATCCCCCGTGCCTGCATCCCACGTGCCTGCATCCCCCGTGCCTGCATCCCACGTGCCTGCATCCCCCGTGCCTGCATCCCACGTGCCTGCATCCCACGTGCCTGCACCCCACGTGCCTGCATCCCCCGTGCCTGCATCCCCCGTGCCTGCATCCCACGTGCCTGCATCCCACGTGCCTGCATCCCCCGTGCCTGCATCCCACGTGCCTGCACCCCACGTGCCTGCATCCCACGTGCCTGCATCCCCCGTGCCTGCATCCCACGTGCCTGCATCCCACGTGCCTGCACCCCACGTGCCTGCACCCCACGTGCCTGCATCCCCCGTGCCTGCATCCCCCGTGCCTGCATCCCCCGTGCCTGCATCCCACGTGCCTGCACCCCACGTGCCTGCATCCCCTGTGCCTGCATCCCCCGTGCCTGCATCCCACGTGCCTGCATCCCCCGTGCCTGCATCCCACGTGCCTGCACCCCACGTGCCTTCATCCCACGTGCCTGCATCCCCCGTGCCTGCATCCCACGTGCCTGCACCCCATGTGCCTGCATCCCACGTGCCTGCATCCCACGTGCCTGCATCCCACGTGCCTGCATCCCCCGTGCCTGCATCCCCCGTGCCTGCATCCCACGTGCCTGCACCCCACGTGCCTGCATCCCACGTGCCTGCATCCCCCGTGCCTGCATCCCCCGTGCCTGCATCCCACGTGCCTGCATCCCACGTGCCTGCATCCCACGTGCCTGCATCCCACGTGCCTGCATCCCACGTGCCTGCATCCCACGTGCCTGCATCCCACGTGCCTGCATCCCACGTGCCTGCATCCCACGTGCCTGCATCCCACGTGCCTGCATCCCACGTGCCTGCATCCCACGTGCCTGCATCCCACGTGCCTGCATCCCCCGTGCCTGCATCCCACGTGCCTGCATCCCACGTGCCTGCATCCCACGTGCCTGCATCCCACGTGCCTGCATCCCACGTGCCTGCATCCCACGTGCCTGCATCCCACGTGCCTGCATCCCCCGTGCCTGCATCCCACGTGCCTGCATCCCACGTGCCTGCATCCCACGTGCCTGCATCCCACGTGCCTGCATCCCACGTGCCTGCATCCCACGTGCCTGCATCCCACGTGCCTGCATCCCACGTGCCTGCATCCCCCGTGCCTGCATCCCACGTGCCTGCACCCCACGTGCCTTCATCCCAGGGACGCGTTCAACAACAGTCTGAGCGGGGGCTTGGACGTGGTGGCGCAGATGACATGGCTCACTGACATGTCAGCGCCTAGCCTCCTCCCCGCCTCACCTTCCTCATTGTTGCCCCCACCTTGCTCGGTCTCCCCATCCCACCTTGCTCGGCCTCCCCTCCTCTACTTGCTCGGCCTCCCCTCCTCTACTTGCTCGGCCTCCCCTCCTTTACTTGCTCCGCCTCCCCTCCTCTACTTGCTCGGCCTCCCCTGCCCTCCCTCACATCGTGTGCTCGCTGCAAGTGGTAACACCTGAGCCCCTCTCTCACTTGTGTGTCCTGCAGAAGCCTCCACACAAACAACTTCTCCGGAGTGCTACCAGCAGCCCTCTCTGCCATCAATGGGCTCACCGCCATGTCAGTGTGCTCCACCTCCCTCTCTCTCTCTCTCTCACTCACTCACTCACTCACTCACTCACCCACTCACTCACCTCACCCACTCACTCACCAACTCACTCATCCACTCACTCACTCACTCACCTTCTCCATGCAGCAACAACTGCTTCTCACCAACCTGCGTGCTTGTTGTGGTGTCATGTGTTTGTGGGGCATGCACTGGGAAAAGTGCACATGTGACATGTCTTATCAAGGTTGCACGCGCGTGTGTGCCAAGTTGTTCGCGGACGGCACGCGGACGTGTTTCTTTCTCCCATGCTCAAATGAATGAATGTGTGTGTGCCTGTGCATTTTTGCGTCCATCTCGTCCTCGTCTCACCACATGTGCCTTGGGCGTGCGGCAGAACCATCGCCAACAACCACTTCACGGGCGAATTTCCGCAGCCTCTTCTGCAGACCCACCACCTTGCTGTACTGTGAGTGAGACACGCACTTACAGTTGTGGACAAAGGAGGGTTGCTTGCAGTGGAATTAACATGTAGAATCATTTCTCTGCTTGACAGCTTTTCCACGCAAATTTTCTTGTGGTGCCACTCCTGAACGCGGCTGTCGCAACCTCTCATATGATGCGTGGAGCTGGTAGACATGTGCGTGGTGCCCCAAGGATATCCTACATGCTCTTGCCTGTTACTTGACAATGGGGTTCCGATGCTCTTTCGTCAACCAATCCCCACAACCAAGCCTGTTTCTCGTTCGCGCCCAGCCTATACAATCCCTTGTTTGTTCACTCTTTGGTGTTTTTCATTTTGCGTACATTCAATCGAGTGGAGCAGTTCTTTGATCCCTCCTGTGGGCTCAAGTGTTGCACTCTGTCATCTCTTCTGAGTGACTCGGCCAGCAATCTCAATGACAACAACTTCCATGGGTCAATCCCGTCTGGCCTCTTCCACCTCCCCATGCTTTACTCACTGTGAGTACCTCCATCCATGGCGCCATTGCTTGCACCTGCTACAATACAGATTGCACTAAATAACAGCCTAATGTGAGGTTCGTAAATCAACTCAAGAAAATAGTTCAGATTCAGTCTTTGGTGTTTTTCATTCCAAGACGTCCTCCTGCTGCTAAATACACAAACCTGCCAAATAGCCTGCAGAGTTCCAACTTGTGTGCCTGCCTTGCCTGCTACTCATTTCCTATGAGACCTCCTTGTTAATGTTAGCCCTCAATCTCACATTTGTACTTGTACTTTTTATATCCTAGGTTAGTGTAGTTTGCACTTTGTGTTTGGTTGGGTGTACACCCACATCCCAACCAAACCCAAATGTGATCTCCAAGCAATCTCCAACCCACCAATTGAAGATTGCCTTGGGATTACCCACAATTCCCCAGGATTGCCCCCGATTCTCTCCCCACCCTTACCTTGCCCATTTCCAATGCACTTAAAGCGCCTTGAGCTCATTACTAATGTATGGATTCTAAGCTCAAGTTCTAACACTCCTTGCATCTCATCATTCTTCACCTTTGCATTCCCTTCTCAGCTTCCAGTCCGGCTGTGGCTCCTAATGTATGCAAGGAAACACCACTTTCCTCTGTCTCCCTTCCTGTCTAATGCAGGCAAGTGGCAAACAACTCTCTTTCCGGGAACCTTCCAGTGACGCTTAAAGCCTCCTCTACACTTGCCACGCTGTAAGCAGCGCCACCACTGGCTGTGCTGCCACCACTCGCTGTGCTGCCCCCACTCGCTGTGCTGCCCCCACTCGCTGTGCTGCCCCCACTCGCTGTGCTGCCACCATTGCTGCACTCTCCGTGCTCATCGTCCCTGGAGTGGAGTTTGCCTACCTTTCGTTGCACCGTGTGCAGTAGCTTTGCAGGAAACGGCTTCACGGGCTCCTTGCCAGACTTCTCACTGTGGAAGGGCAGCTTTGAAAGGCTGTAAGCTTCTTGCTCTCCCTCTCCCCCCCTTTAACCCCCCTTCCTCCCCCCACTCTTCCACCTTTCCTGCATCAATCCCCTCTCAGTTGTTTCTTGACGAATCTGCGTTCCTCCCGGGTGGCCATCTTTCCGATCTCTGGCACGTGTCTTGCCTCTATCACGTCTCTTGGGCTTGTGGGTGCAATGCCTGGTGAGAGCTGTTCTTCGTGCAGGGAGCTGAGCCACAACAACTTCACAGGGCCCATTCCTGACTCCATCTCCACGCTCTCCACTCTGCAGGCCATGTGAGCCTCGTCTGCTGTTGCGCCCTCACCACATGCCCCTCACCACATGCACCTCAGCACACGCCCTTCACAACATGCCCCTTACCAAATGCCCCCCTCACCACATGCCCCTCACCACATGCCCCTCACCACATGCCCCTCACCACATGCCCCTGATCATATTTCCACCTGCATTTGCGGAGTGTCGTCTTCTCACCCAGAGTAGTTCAGGGAGAAAGCTGGCAGGGCCAGGCTAGCACCTAGCAGCTTTTATAGTTTATATAATATAGCATGCGAACACTTGTGACTGTACACCAAGTGTGGTGTACAGTTGGGCTGGTTCACACTCTAGTTTTGGGTGTAGTGCGGGTAGACACCCTAATTGGGGTGAACCCAAGTATCCTAGCTTAAACTTGGTTCCAACCTTGTTGGCCAAGTGGGGGTGTCAAACCATCATTGTCCCATGTGATGGGGCAACCAACTTTGGTTGGTTGGCCACCACCCCACTAGGGTTGGTTGGATGGTCCTTCCTCCCACTAGGCTACTTGGTCTTGGTGTCTTATGTGCTAGGTTTGGTGTTCTTCTCCAACCTTCTCTTCCTTGTATAACCTTCTGCTCTCTTGAGCTAATATTAACCATTCTTCCTCAAGTTTCTAAAGCTCCTAAATTCTTTCAGCAGCAGCCGGTGCCTCATGGGCTCTACCCTTGCCATACCTCGTGCGCTCTGCCCTTGCCATGCCTCTGCTATGCAGCATCCTCGACAGCAACCAACTGATCGGGACCATTCCAGCTGCCATCTTCAACATGACGAACCTACAATCTCTGTGAGCCTTGAGTGCCCCTAGTGTTTTAAGGCGAACCTTTGCCCTGTGAGCCTTAACTGCCCTTAGGACCACACTTCTCTCCTGTGCCCACCTGCGCTGCTCTCCCATATGCTGCTCCTGCTCACAACAGTCGCTCCCCTCCATGCTCCCCTCTGTGCTCCCCCCCATGCTCCCCCCCATGGTCCCCTCCATACTTCCCTCCATGCTCTACAGCTACCTGGCCAACAACCGTCTGAGCGGCAGTCTGCCGTCTGCCATCAGTCGCTTGGAGAAGCTCCAACAGATGTGAGGGCCCTCCCTGTCTTCCCTCTCAAGCAGTGAGGGGGAGCGTGTTGCGCAGCAGGGGAGGCAAGGGGATGTGCATAGGAGCATAGTGGGGCCATGGAGGCAAGGGCGTGGGGCAGCATGGTGGAGAGCCAGTGCAGGCTTGGCGTTCCTTCAGTGTAGCGGCTCTCCATGCTTGCAGGCAACCCTGGTGTGCCCCCTCCACTCCCTGATTGTTGCTCACTTCTCCCTTCTCCTCTACCTTGCTCCCTCCCCCGCCCCCGGCACGTGCACCCTTCCATGTCGTGTTGAGCAGTTCTTGATTCTTCTCCTGATGCCTAAATGCGTGCCAAGCTTTCCGCCCTGCCAAACTCACCCATGTTCTGTGCCTACTGCCGTGCCCCACTGCACTTAGCTGCTCCCATGCCCCTGCTTCTGCCCCTGCTTCTGTCCCTGCGTCTGCCCCTGCTTCTGCCCCTGCTTCTGTCCCTGCGTCTGCCCCTGCTTCTGCCCCTGCCTGGCCCCCCGCAGCTGGCTGGACAACAACAGCATCGAGGGCCCTCTGCCATCCGCCATCTGCTCGCTGCCCTGGCTGTGGCGCATGTGAGTGGCTGTGGCGCATGTGAGTGGCTGTGGCGCATGTGAGTGGCTGGCTGTGGCGCATGTGAGTGGCTGGCTGTGGCGCATGTGAGTGGCTGTGGCGCATGTGAGTGGCTGGCATATGCTTCTTGGAGTGACAAGTGGGATGTTCTGGCATCGGTCCGGCCAGGAAGAGCGTAGCATTTGGATGAATGCAGCTGTGAGCAGTGCAAAAGCACGGTGTGGAGGGTGTGCTGGAATTGTGGCCAAGTGCAAGCGAGCCCGCCCCAGGTGCGTGAGGCATCCCTAGTGTGCCCAAACCCCACCAGAAGCAGCTGGTGCGAGCAGCAGCTCTGGGAAGAGGAGAACCTCAAGATAGGCAAGGCTTGGTACTGTTGAGAAGAATGAGAGCCACTATTCTTGCTCAAATTGTATGCATGGATGTGAGGTGACATGTGCACTTAGCAAGAGTGCCACACAAGGCAAATAGGCAGCTCACAACAAACAAGCATATCATGGCATACCCAAGCAAGCAACATGCGCATGTCTGCGCCACAGCTTATCTTGTATCTTGCGTATCTTAGCTTTATCTTGCGTATCTTAGCTTATCTTGTCTTCTTGACTTGTCTCTCTTTTGTTCTATGCGGCTTCGTATGGTGTGACTCGTGGTGGTGCATGGCATGGCATGGCATGTGCTTTTGTATTGGCAGCATGGTGAGCAACAACCATCTCTACGGGCCTCTGCCAGACTGCCTCTTCGACAAGTGCATCAACCAAATGTGAGCCCACCTGCTTACTTCATCCATCCCCACTACTACCAAAGAGTGCTGCGAGGCATGCTGCTCACTGCTGTCAGTGCGGTCAGGTGCAAAGAGCGTTGAATGAACGCGCTGCTGACCGTCAGGTGGGCCTCTCAGCTCGCCCTAGCGAATCATTCTTTCTAGCCCTCGCTTCTGTCATGCTCCCCGCCCCCCATCTGTCCTCGCAGCGACGTGAGCAACAACAGCCTGTACGGGCGCATCAACCACGACTTCAACAGCATGGTGGCGGACGGGGAGGCCCTCATCAACCTCGCACACAACTTCTTCTACGGAGATGCAGTGCTCTTTGCCGTGGGCTGCCGGGTGTGCCCCGAGGAGATCACCCAGCGCAACCAGCTGCAGCTGGGCGACAGCAGCGTGAGGCTGGCAGGGAAGTGCAGCGACACTGCCTTCTCTGGCCAGCGCGACTACTCGGTGGTGGGGGCAGGCAAGGGCGCCCGCGGGAGTCTCGCAGGCAACTGTCTGACCCTCAAACGGGACGTCAAGTGCCCGTCCAACGCCACCCAGCGCAGCACGGCAGCCTGCCAGGCGTTCTGCAGCATCACTGACAACGGCCCGTGTGATGGCCATGGGGCGTGTGTGCCGCCTGCGCCGGACGCCCAGGCCAACTTCACATGCATGTGCGACGCCGGGTACTCCTCCGTGGACCTGGGCAACGGCTCCACCTGCGCCATCCTCAGCTCCACCACCACTGCTGGTGAGGCACCCTCACACATGGACTGCTTACCTGGAAGCTGCAGCCCATGCTGCGCTCACATCTCACCCATGCTGCGCTCACATCTCACCCATGCTGCACTCACATCTCACCCGTGCTGCCCTTCCTGCCTTTAGTGCATCTCCAACTCCATCTCCTCGACTCCCCACCTTTTTTACCCCACCCTCCCTGCTCCCTCCGTCGTTGCTGTCAACAGGTGTCATTGTAGGTATCACTGTGGGGTGCTTTGCCGGATTCACTCTGCTCACTGCTGTGCTTGCCTGGCTACTGTGGCCCCGTCGACAAAGTAAGACCTCCTACAATGCTCCCATGTCATCCCTCCAATTCTTGCTCCTCTTTCCCGCTCGCCTTGCACTCCTGCCCTGCCCATGCCTGCACTTCAACTCACCTTCCCTGCCAGCCCCACTTCTACATTCCTTGTGTGCCCACTCGCTCAAACCCTTGCTGAATATGTGTTGCTGCATGGCCTCCCACTGTGCACCTCACCTCACCGTGCTCTGTTGGGGCACAGGGAAGTGGGAGGGGCTGGACCTGTGCGAGCAGTTCTCACTGCAGCAGCTCGTGAAGGCCACGGACAACTGGGCGCCTGAGAACTTGCTGGGGCAAGGCGGGTTTGGCACTGTGTACAAGGGGTGCTCGCCGCAGGGGCAGCTGTGGGCAGTGAAGCGCTCCACTGTCATGACCAACGAGTTTGAGACGGAGGTCAGCCCTTGCCTTGCTGCCTCTACACCATTGCTCAAATCCTGCCATTCAGCCATGGCACCGTGGCAATGGGGCTCATTGTGCTCTTTGGAATGCTGATCTGTCTTTGCTTTATTGGAAGCACTGTTAAACTCGGCAACTCGCATATTGCCTTCCTTGTCCACTGTGCTTTGCGGCGCATGCAGGTGCGAGCCATGGCATCGCTGCACCATGTGAATCTGGTGCGCCTGCTGGGCTTCTGCCAGGACCAGAACGTGGAGACGGGCAAGCAGGAGCAGATCCTCGTGTACGAGTTCGTGGGCAACCGAGACCTGCACCACCACCTCTACAAGACTAAGAGTCAGTTGCCCTCGCACCAAGTCACCAAGTCGCCAGCCAAGTGTTCTTTAGCAGAGAATGTCAAAAGCTGCTAACACAGAAACACTCTTCGTGCCTGCCCCTCGTGGTCTTGCTTCCAGATCCTCTCTCGCTGCGCCAAAGGTTGCGCCTGGCGCAAGGAGCAGCGGAGGGCCTGGTGTACCTGCATGGGTTTGCGACGCCCATCATCCACCGCGACATCAAGCCTGCCAACATCCTCGTTACAGCTGACATGCATGCCAAGGTCGCAGATTTTGGGCTGCTGAAGCAGCTCACTCATGGCGATGCTCATGCCACCAGAGTGGCGGGCACGCCCGGCTATGTGGATCCTGACTACAACCGCACCGGCGTCATCACAACCAAGAGCGATGTCTTCAGGTAAGCTGGAACACTGATGCACGGCCAAGAGCGTGGATGGCGATCTGCCAACTCACAAGATGCTGGAACACTGATGCACGGCCAAGAGCGTGGATGGCGATCTGCCAACTCACAAGATGCTGGAACACTGATGCATTTGACACGTCTGAAATATAATACTTGCAGGAAGGACGGTTCAAAAGTTGCTGATGCACAAACAGACTGTTGCTGGTCGTCATTTTCTCCAGCCGTTTCCATGTCCCCCTGTGCGCCGGCTTGCAGCTTAGGCGTTGTGCTCCTGGAGTTGCTGACTGGAAAGACACCCTCTTACCATGGATACTCTATTAAGATCTGGGTATGCCCATGCTACATTCAATCGTGGCACTGCCCCTTGCACCGCCTTTCCTCCTACCATGCTATGTGATAATGAGAACGAGAATGGGTGAACTATGAAAATGAAGTGAGTACAAATATGAAACCCTAATTGGTTGTACCCCCTATGGGATACCCCACTATAGCCTACACAACAGCATAAGCTATAATGTTCTGACACACCCCCATAGGCAAAGTGGGGGAGAACAAGGGGTCACAAGACCAGTCAAGCAAAGCAAAGCAAAGCAAGCTCAGGGTGGATCACAAAGTCACCACACAGTCCGAGCACAGGGTCAAGGCCACACGGCCAGTTCACATGCAAGAGTACACACATATATATAAAGCTAGACAAGCAAGAGCAGGTATATATATATGTGAGAGTACAAGCAAGGTCAAGAGGAGAGCAAGTGAGGCAAGACGGGCACAAGACCCAGCTGAGTGCAGAAGCGCTGATGATCACAAGGCGGAAGTGCCTTGGTGAAGACATCAGCAGTGTTGGCCTCAGAGGCCACGTACGCAAGCCGCAACTGTCCACGTTGCTGTAGCTCACGAGCAAGGAAGTAGCGGAGAGCAATGTGCTTTGTTCTGTGCTCCAGTCGCTGCTCTCGACACAAGGCCAGCATGGCCTTGTTGTCTACGTACAGGACTGGAGGAGAACGAGGCGGCTCTCCAAGGTCGGTCAGCAGGTAGGTGAGCCAGCGAAGCTCCTGTGCAGCCATGGCCCCGGCGTAGATCTCAGCCTCACAACTCGAGCCAAGAACAGAAGACGAGCGAGTAGCCCGCCACGAAACAGAGCCGGAACCAAGGCTGAAGGTGTAACCCTGTGACGACCGCTGCGTAGCCTGGTCGTCAGCCCAAGAAGCGTCCGCGTGCCCAGTGAGGACCACTGGACTCCGCCCTCCAAGCACTAGCCCCATGCCCGAAGTACTGCACAAGTAGCGCAACACCCTCTTCGCTGCAGCCATGTGCTCTGGTCTGTGTCTCCCAGGAGCAACATAGCGTGCAAGAATGCTAAGAGGGTATGCAAGGTCAGGTCGTGTGCAGGTCATCAGGTACATGAGGCAGCCAACAAGCTCTGGGTACGGGCCACTCGACTCTACGGACTCATCCGAAGGCAGAGCTGAGAGCGAGTGGCGAGTAGACAGAGGAGTGGCCTGAGGCGAGGAGTACGTGAAGCCGAAGCGCTGAAGGACCTGCTGCACCATGTGTGACTGAGTCAGGGTAATGGTGCGCCGTGCTCTGTCCCGGGTGATCTGCAAGCCAAGGTAGCTGCGCAGTTCACCCAGGTCTGTGCACGTGTGTCTCTTCTGCAGCTCGGACTTCACGTAGGCGAGTCCAGCAGTGTCAGCTGTGGCAAAGACCAAGTCGTCGACGTACACGAGGATGTAGAACGGCGGCAGAGAGGTGTCGGTGCGTAGAAACAGCGACGGGTCGGCAGTAGAAGGAGCAAACCCAAGGGCCGCAAGCGTAGTCCTCAGTGTGTCGTGCCACTCACGTGGCGCCTGGCGGAGACCGTAGACTGGACGCCGGAGACTCCACTGGGTACCAGGAGGGAAAGACCCAGTGAAGCCAGGTGGGCGACGCAGCCAGATCTCCTCGTGCAGGCTGCCCTGCAAGAAAGCTGTGCTGAAGTCAAGAGAGTGCAGCTCGTAGTCACGGTGAGCAGCAACGTGCAGCAGTACCCGAAGAGTGGTCATCTTCGGGGTGGGGGAGAAGGTCTGAAAGTAGTCAACTCCCTGCCGCTGACTGAAGCCACGAGCCACGTAACGCGCCTTGAAGACAGGCGGAGAACCCGGCGGTCGCTTCACCCTGAAGATCCACATGCCACTGACGATGTTCGCCCCAGGAGGGGGGACAGCGTCAACGTAGGTGCCTGTGGACTTCCAGGAAGCCATCTCTGCATCCATAGCTGCCTGCCACTGAGAGGAGTAGGGACCCTCTATCGCCTCCGCGTAAGAGGAGTCGGGATGTCAAGTGCATCCGGGTCTCCCTCAGGGGTAAGCAGTACGGACACGAGATGAGGTGAGGCAGCTGCCAGACACTGGAACTCCTCCTGCCTGTCCTCAAGGACGTCCGTGCCAAGGGCACACTCACCCCCGACGGACGGAGGACAGACAGACTCAGACTCAGCGACAAGACTAGCAGCGTAGTCTAAGCGACAGCGAGCAGCAAAGTCGACGAGCTCAGTAACGAGAGCAGACGCAGCAGTAGACTCGAAAGAAGGGTCAGTGACAACAGTAGCAAGGAGACGCGTGACAGTAGGACTGGCAGCACGAAGAGAGTCCGACTCCGGGTCGGGAAGAGCAGGAAGAGAGGACTCTGGAGGAGAAGGCAAAGGGGCACGCAGAGGAGCAGTGGACGGACGCAGAGACATCCGGTGCGTGCCAGGGACAGGAGGAGGACGCTGACGCGAACCGCGACCACTAGTGCGAGCAGCACGGACAGGCGACGCAGGGCGAGACGCAGGCTCACGACGCTCAGCCAGACCTCCAGTAGGACCAGTGTAGGGAGAAGGAGCAGGCAAAGGGGAGGTAGGCTGCAACTGTAGCTGGGACGAGACAGGCTGTGGACACTCTAAGGGAGGAGGAGGACCAGTAGAAGGTGGAAGACCAAGAACCTGCTGCAGGAGTGGAACGAAGTACGGTCGAGGCCGCGCAGCGACGCTAGAAGCAGCAGGGACAGCACCAGAACCCTCAGCAGGAGCACCCGCTCCAGCAGCACCACCAGTAGCTCCAGAACCTCCAGCAGCACCAGGAGCACCCCCAGTAGGACTGCCAGCGGTAGTCTCAGCGCCAACACCCTCAGCAGCACCAGCTCCAGTGCACCCAGGACGAGCACCTCCGGGACCCGCGACCGCAGCACCCTCAGCAGCCGAAGGACCTCCAGCACCAGCAGCACGCCTCCAGCGCCGGGCAAACCACTCACGCAGCTCCTGTGGAGAAAGTGGCTCCCGGCGAGACGAAGCACTCGGAGAACCTCCAGGCGGAGCACCTCCAGGCTCAGCACCCCCAGGCGTAGCACCCCTAGGCTCAGCACCCCCAGGCTCAGCACCCCTAGGCTCAGCACCCCCAGGCTCAGCACCCCCAGGCTCAGCACCCCCAGGCTCAGCACCCCTAGGCTCAGCACCCCCAGGCTCAGCACCCCTAGGCTCAGCACCCCTAGGCTCAGCACCCCCAGGTACAGCACCCCCAGCCTCAGCACCCTCAGCAGCACCAGAGTCACCAGTGACCTCGACAGGCTCGACTGCGTCTACCTGGGACACACCTGAAGGGGCAGGACCCTGAGGGGGGAGGGGGTCTACCTGGGGGGGACCTGGTACCAGGAAGAGTGGGGGTGGGGGGAGGGACGGAGTGCGGTAGGGGAAGAGGCGGTAGTAGGGGACCGACTCGTCAAACGTGACGTCCTGGGAGGACAGAACACGGCGAGAGGTGGGGTGGTAAAACTGCCACCCAGGCGCGTCAGGGGGGAACCCCAGGAAGACGCAAGGAGCAGCACGAGGGGATAGTTTGTCCGCAGACAGGTCGCGGACAAACGCCCGAGATCCCCAGACCCGGAACGCCGACGCATCGCCAACCTGCCCCGTCCACAGCAAGGCTGGGGAGGTCTCCGGCCTGGAGACCCTGGGGTGGAGGTTGATCTGATGCGCCGCGTACCTCACCGCAAACGGCCACAGAAAATGGGGGGCAGCCGCATGCATCATAGACGTACGAGCGACGTCCATGACCATGCCAATGCGGCGCTCAGCAATCCCATTTTGCTGCGGTGAGTCCGGAAGCGTGAAGGTCTGACGGATGCCCCGTGCACGACAGTAGGCACGCAGAAGGCCAGAGGAGAACTCTCCGCCTCTGTCCGAGTGCAGACGCAGAACAGGAAAGTCCGAGCCGAAGCTCTGCCTGAGCTGGAGACGAGCTGCGCGGATCCAGTCGATCAGCACCTCAGTGACATCACCCTTGCTGCGCAAGGGGAAGACTGTGGTGTAACGCGAGTAGTCGTCAACAACGAGCAGGAAGTAGCGCTCGTGACCCTGTCCACGGACGCGGGCTGGGCCCCACACGTCCATGTGAAGTGTCTGCAACGGGGCCTCTGTCGAAGGAAACTGGGAGGAGTGAGGGGCAGCACGCTGGCGCCCCTCGACACAGGGGACACAGGCAGGGCCAGGGCCCTGAGGAAGGGGAGGGAGGGACCGGGGGAGACCGGACACAAGAAGACGGGAGGCCATACCTCTGAGCCGAAGCAGAGAGGGGTGGCCAAGGCGGTGGTGCCAGAGGAGAGTCTCGTGAGACAGGAGACGACACGAACAGAGGGCAGACTCAGGACCAGACCTGGACGCCGCAGCAAACACCTGACCGGACGTAACTACCCTACCAGACTCAGCAACTGGAGGAGACGCAGTGGTCAGAGTGTACAGGCTCGACCCCGGCTGACGGGTGAACGTAGCCAGGTGTCGGCCTGTGCTAGCCTCTGTACAGTGGGTCACTCGCTGACGTGCAGGAGTGAACTGGTGGACACCCGCATCCTGTAGGTCAGCACCACTCACCAGGTTCGTCGAGAACGAGGGGAGGTAGAGACCAGACAGGGTGCCAGAGGGAGCCGCCGGACACGGGAGGACCGTGGAGAAACGAGACAGGACCGGACCCCCAGAGGGGTCAGCCAGAGACACCGCAACCGGCCGACTAAGCGGCGTGAGTGTGGTGCGGTCCCGAAAGAAGGAGTGAGACGCCCCAGAGTCAAGAGTGAAGGTGAGGGAGGCCGAAGCCGACGCGGTACCTGAGAGAGCAGACTCACCAGTACCTGAGGACGCAGACACACCAGCACCTAGAGCAGCAGCGTCGTAAGCACCTAGGGCAGCAGCCTCACCAGTACCTAGAGCAGCAGTCTCAATGCCCGGATCGGGCTGGAAACACCGGTAACAGTCACCCTCATCACTAATAGACACAGCATACATGGCAGAGAGAATAGCATCAAAGTCCAGATCAAAGATGGCAACCCCCGCCCTAGACAGCTCGTCCCAGCGAGGGATCTCGGAGGCCTCCGGGAACTGGTGACGCCATG